AACTACGGGAGATCCATGATAGTGGCAAGCTCTTGCCTAGAACTACCTAGAAACAGTTTTATTTAACCATGACAGGAAGTTGTCAGTGCCAAAACCCTGGCATAAATGAAGGCTAGTTGCCCAGGTGACTGTCCTCCTACCAGCTTGTCACAAGATCTGCCTCAGCAAATCCCAGTCAAACAGTATCAAAGTAGACAAAAAGCACTAAACTTTCTGGGGGCAACAAGTAGCATCTTCTCAGTGCTCTATCCCCAGTTCCCTGTCACATAAACAGCCTTGACGATCTTTAAGCAGATTAAGTACACAACAGCTTCATCTCCACAGGAAGTGGGATTAAAAGGTTTATTGCTACTATGACAACAGCCAGGTTCTGCTGTTCTTAAAATAGTTTTGAAACCCTAGCAGTGACTGGAAATGTATACATGCCTCCCCTACAGGATTCATCGTGTACTAAATACAGTCCTTCAAAAGGAAATCATATTTTGTAACAGTCTACTTCTTTTAAGCGTATATTTTTATCGTGCTCTTTAATCCCTTGTTACGAGCACTAAGAATAGAAAGCAGTAAAAAAGGCACAGTGCTGCCATGTGGCTGTGATTACAGCTTTAGAAGTGATTATTGCTGGGAGCTGGCTGCAGACACCACGCTCTCACTTCTGCTCCAAGGCAGGGTTCATTTCTTGCCCCCAGGCAGTAATCAACCCCCTTGCTGAAATGGAGCATGCAGGGGACTAAGCAGCCCTCGAGCCACTCCGTGCTGCCGGGCACCAGCTATTTTTGGTCTTACGAATCTTCCCCTTGACACCCACCAGTATTCTGTTGCGTCTCAGTCTGAAATAATTCCTTCCTCATAGGTAACAACTGGAAGTAGAATTTGTCACACAGTTCATTACCAAACAGCATCAGTTCAGTTCGTGCCCAGGGCATAAGTCTGCCAATAACTAGATAGTAGCAGGCCATTCTTCATTTGAACACGCTATTGCATCAGTGATTAGTATTTTATTGTTGAGGATGCCTAAATAAACCACTGATTCAATCAAATATGCAGCTACCACATTTGATGAACACCCAGCTGTGCTCTGAGGCATTCTCCAAGTACATTCATGCTGACTTGTACAACAAAACCAGTAAGAAGTACAATACATAATTCTGACAGCAGCGCTACCCAGATCAAAGTGGGTAATCCTTATCTAGGACTAATGAAATCAGAAAATTAATATGAACACAAGTCTATTCATTACACCAGTCAATTTAGATTAAAAGCGTATTTCAAAACAAAGAAAAAGAAAATCTAATCCAATTACATTGGTACTATCCATCAGTATCTCTCAATGCCAAGCTGGAATCACCTTCCTGCAGCAAATTGGGCTTTAAAAAGAAGAGAACCAAATTCAGGCTGTAAAACTCAAGAAGCGATTAATTTTTTTCCTTATCCAAAGCCCAGTTCTGTTAGCTCCTGCCAATGAAGGCCAATTCTTTTCTCTATAGAGTTCAGAAATTCCTGACATTTACGGACCAGAATTTGGCCTTCAACGTACCTTTAATTGAGATTTCTCGGTGATTTAAAAATACCTAGCAGCGACTGCCACAGACCAAGCTGAATTCTCCATGAGAGCTGACACCGTCAATAAAAGAAACATTTACCTATCCCCAAAAGATTACATTAACAATGGAATGAAGAAAACAAATGGGTAATTAAATGAGCATATTAGAATCACAGAATGCTTTGGGTTGGAAGGGACCTTTAGAGGTCATCTAGCCCAACACTCCTGCAGTGAGCAGGGACATCTTTAACTCGATCATATCTCCAAGTTCAGTATTTAACCTCAGTAAGATGAAGATGGAAGTCAAATTATGCCCCAAGTCTCACTTTTACAGAAGGTTTTAGCTCCTAGTTCCAAACCCTATTTCTATTCCCAAAACATTTCATCATATCACACACTAGACCAGAATTAAGAAATTCACATATTCTGGCAAAGTTTTGTGGCCCTGCCCTGGACTTGCTCCAGTAAGTCCCATCTTCCGTGAACTGGGGAGCCCAGAATTGGAGACAGCACTCCAGATGTGGCCTGACCTGTGCTGAGCAGAGAGGAAGGATCTCCTCCTTCGACCTGCTGGCCACACTCCTCCAGATGCAGGCCAGGATGCTGCTGACCACCTTTTCTGTAAGGGTGCGCTGCTGGCTCGTGGTCAGCTTGCTGTCTGCCAGGACCCCAAGGTCCGTCTCTGCAGAGCTGCTTTCCAGCTGGTCAGGCCCCAGCATGTACTGGTGCCTGGGGTTACTCCTCCCCAGATGCAGGGCTTTGCATTTCCCTTTGTCAAACTGAATGAAATTCCTTTTCTGCCCAGTTTTCCAGCCTGTTGTGGTTCCTCTAAATGGCTGCATAGTCATCTGGTCTGTCAGCCACTCCTTCCATTTTCATACCATCTGCAAACTTGCTGAGGGTGCACTCCATTCCATCATCCAGAATATGAATGAAGAAGGTGAACAGTACTGACCACAGTATTGAGCCCTGTGGTATACCACTAGTGATTTGCCTCCAGTTGGACTTTTGTGCTGCTGATTGCAGCCCTCTGGGCCCAAGCATTGTGCCAGTTTTCGGTCCATATCACTCTCAACTTATCTAATGCATACTTTGTCTGCTTGTGTGTGATGATGTTATGGGAGATGGCACAAAAAGCTTTACAGAAGTTAAAGGTTTCGGTCCATATCACTCTCAACTTATCTAACGCATACTTTGCTTGTGTGTGATGATGTTATCGGAGATGGCACAAAAAGCTTTACAGAAGTTAAAGTAAATAACATCAACTGCTCCCCCCTCATCCAGGAAGCCAATCACCTCATAGTAGAAGGCAATGAGGTTGATGAAGCATGATTTCCCCTTTGTAAATTCGTGCTAACTCCTCCCAGTCACCCTCTTGTCCTTCACATATTTGGAAGTGCTTTCCAGGATGATCCTGTGTCACCTTCCCTTCCCAGGGACT